CTCTTTTCGCTTTAGGCCCCTGGTCTGCGATGAATCAGGCAAAATAACCGATAGGCGTGGAGCTACACGGGACCTAATAAGGACACTTTAACTTAGTATTTTAGGGACCAGACAGGTAATCCTTCAGAGTCTTGATATGGGGCCAGTCAGAAAAACGCTCTAATTATCATCATATTCATCCTCACAAATGACTAAGGAGTCGAATGCCATGGTAACAAGCGTTTGCACTCCAACGGCCCAGCACTATTACAGACAACTTAAAAAAATCTACTCACTTGGACGCGGCCATCGGAGAGTTTTAATTGGCTGGCCAACTGATCCCGCATAGTCACATCGGGATAATGGTTGATACTGAATGCTGCCTCAAGCACATGTAGCTGCAGGGTGGTGAAGGTGGTTCTCGAACGCCGGGGACGGTTGCAACGCACGTAAAAGTCCGTCGGATCGTCCACACTGCCGTCTTGGGAAGCCTGATCGCCCCTCGAGAGAAAATCACCTATGTCCATTTTGGGTGCCTGGAGAACTGAACACTTCTCGGAGTACGCGTCTTCTGTGGAGGAAAGCGAGTGAGGAAGAGGCGAGGTAAGCCCGTGGTGGTGGTGACTAGTGTAGTCCACCACGGCTGGTTTCGCGAGGACTTCCAACGGCAGACTTTTAGGCTGCTCGGTGGCGTCACCACCGTGCGTGAAAAGTTCGTTGAAGACCCCCATGGTTGGTGCCATATCCCCTAGCTGAGCGCTCAAGAAGCGAAGGTAGTGTAGATAAGCCAATGGGGATACTGAAATGAGCGGAGGGGATGCGCCCTCTAGTGGTAGGCAACACATTGCATCGTTTGCTGGCGGACTGCTACTGCTGCTTCCGCCTATACTAGGGATTTCGGATTTGATGCTGGGAGCCCCATCAGTCGGACTCCTCTGGGCTTCTAGAAAAAAAGAGAAAAACCGGAAATATAGTCTACAGCAACCCAAGACTTCGAGTTTCAGCGCGGCCCTGTGTTAGAGTGCGCTATCTTTCGAGAGAGAGAGAGAGAGATACAGCGAACGTAGTTTGTTATGGAGATTCAACTGAGAAAGACGAGTTTCATAACCGACTCTGGCACTTACCTATCGGAGAGCTGGTGAGAAGTGTTTGCGAGAAGGGTAAGGACTGTGCGATCTTCCGCTCAGGGCTATCAAGCAAGCGGTCGATGCTGAAAGCCTTGCTCATCTCCTGAATAAAATATATATTTTCCCTGCAAGGAGAGAAGAAACTGATGGTAATGATCCAGGGGGCAATTGAGGCTCAAAACGGAAAGATAAAAAAGAAAACAAACATAAAACGGTAGTCCGAACCTACTTACAGACGCGGTGATTTACGATTGTCATCCCCCGAGTCCTGATTTTATGAACGCAACAAGAATCCTACCCAGCTCTCTCTCATCACTTGGTAACAAAAGAGTTGTATAACTGCCAATAGTGGAGAATATGCGAACTCCAGGAAGCAGTTCAAAAGAAGACGGTGCGATCACTGGAACACGTACTCCCCAATGAACAAAACAGAAGATCATGGGCTACTTTTTAAACCTAACCATCTATGTGAAATCGTTGAAGTTGTGTTGCAACAATGACGAGTGTTTTCTTTCCTTCCAATATGCCAACAAAAGCAGTTTTGTGGGACAGTGGGCACTTGGGGTCCGAGAGTAGACAGTTCCTCTGCAGATAGAAAACGCTTCCAAAAACAGGACAGCTGAATACGGGCTTGATTATAGTCCCCCCTCGGCCATTTCTCTAGGAATATTCGCACCGCCGGAGGGGGGAGGTAACTGAGTCAAACGCGATGAGATTTAATTGAGGTCAACATCTTCTCAAAATCATTAAGGATCACTGGGGTACTTTAATATAATTAGTCAGAGAAATTTGGAGGGGGTATGTTTTATTGGCGTCAAAGAGTCGACGGAAGGCAATGAATAGCAAGGACAAACCACTTACTCAGAGAGAATAATTCGCAGTTGAAGGGCACGCGCCTCGGGGATGTGAAATGGCGCGATTAGGCTGATGAAGTGTCTCGGGGGGAGGGAAAGCGCTGTGACAACCAATTAGCGACGCGCACTCACTTGCGGGCATGCTGATTGGTGTCTTATCGCGCTCACCCTTCAGCCAATTAGTGTGTTATGCGAGCGACAGCAAGTCGGCCAAGAGACTTGACTGGCTTGCTTCTGAGGAGAACACGCATTCGCACATTACCCATGGAAAAAATAAACCCATTTAGTTAGAAAAAAACGACTAACCACCTCGAGATATGATAAACCAGCTTGCCAAGCCTGACTGGGTGACCTGCTTGCTATATAGGAGTCCTTTCGGCATGATGGAAACCTAAACACTGGTTAACGTGAATCTTGTTTTTTGTCTGTTTAAGGATATATTCTGTCACCAAAAGTAAATTAGTGCAACATATGGACGTCAGTCCGTTTAGAAATGTCTTACCGAAATTAATAGACCACTACGAAACTGTTGCTGACAAATTTGAACTGTTCTGCGGCCTGACTTTCAAGTCCGCATTGAAGGTGGAATTGGATACCTGATAAAGCACATCTCCGAGTTCTGGGATATGGTCTGCTTGTTAAGCTAGACGTTGGCTACCTGGAATGTCCATAAGTGGGGTTTAGGGGAACGACCTTCAGCGAAAGTCGTAAGGGGTATCCCGAAATTCTTTGCACCATAACAACACACTCATAGTTTCTAAAGTTATAAACATATTTCACAATTTACTTTACAGAAAATTTCCCTTTGACTTTTAGACAAATTCTACCCTACTTCTCATCGAAGGAATTAGA